CGAGGCTCCCGCTTGAGACGTCCTGACGATGAATGTCTGCGCGTGTGAGTGATGACGATGGCGGTGATGATGATGGTGGCGACAGTGATGGCGATCATGGCTCCCGCATAGTAGACGATGATGATGACGATGATGATGTGTGATGGTGATGGTGATGAGGACTGTGATGGTGATGAGAAAGTACCGTCCGATGATGGTGATACTGGTGGTGATAATGATGACGATGCTGATGATGGTGATGCTGGTGATGATGATGGTGGTGATGGTGGCAGTCGGATGATGGTGATAGTATTGGTGATGCTGATGATGATGACGATGATGACGGTTATGGTAATGATGGTGTTGATGGTGACTGATGATGATGGTGTGAGTTTGGTGATGGTGGCAGTCGGATGATGGTAATAGTATTGGTGATGATGATGACGACGATGATGACGGTGATGGTAATGATGGTGTTGATGGTGACTGATGATGATGGTATGAGTCATTGAGTGAGTGATGCTGTTGTGAGTGATGATGAGGAGGTTGATGGTGTTATGATGGTGATGGTATGTGTGTGAGTCACTGAGTGAGTGAGTGTGCGAAGGGATAAAAAGAAAGAGGGTGTGAGGAGGACTGCGCGGGGTGTCCAAAGAAAACAAGAACCCCACTTAGGATTTGGGGAATTATGGCAAAAAACACGACGGCAGCCCTGGACCCCAGCTCCCTCCGCCATGTTTCGCGCCGGAGATCTGTGAGGGTCCCGGGGCCCGAGACCTTGCGAAAACGCACGGCTGGAAAAAATTGAAGAGCCAGGATCTGGGGGCCAGGAATTGGGCAGCCCTGGGCGGCTCACCGCACCCGAAGGCCCGCTGACAGCGTGGCACCCCCAGCCCCTGCAGCGGGAGCGGCCGCCAGCCGGGCCCCCAGGACCGCCAAGAAACACTACCCGCGATGAAAAACCGGTCCCGGTGAAGGGGTTCAGATCTTGGGAGGTCCACGTTCCAAGAACTCCGACTCCCTCGCGGCGAGGACCTCCAGAGATCTGGACCCCTCCCCTAAGCCTGCTTTTTCGTCCCAGCTCATGTTCCTACGTTCCCAAGGCCCAGCGAGGGCCCCCAGGGCCGAAACCGACCGTAACATGTCTGGGTGGGGTGTTGGTTTGGGGGCGCAGGGGCGGGAGGGTCTGGCGGGGAAATGGGAAAAGTGACGTGCCACCCCATGGCCGCCCCGTGCAAAACGCGGTGCGGCCGGCCGTACGACGACGGCCGAAGCCTCCCATCACGATATGTTGCACGGCGCGACCATGTCTGGGGGAGGTCCAAATTGCGGAATCACGTCGCCAGAAGCATGGGGGTCCAGAGCAGGACGGCCTCGGGCCAACGACCCCGCCCGAAGCCACAGGCGGGGGAGGGCCAGCGGCATGTCGAGGCGGCAGCCCCGTGGACTGCAGGAACAGCCGCGGGAATCTCGACAGGTCCGTGGGGCCTGGCGGGGGCGCGCACACCCTGGGATCACGGCGTCGCCATTTCTTCACAAGGGGCGTTTTCGCCGGCTTGGGGCCCCAGGGCCCTCACACATGGATCCGGATCGAAAAATGGCCCTGAAAAATGGGGTCCGGGGCACCCGTCGTGGAATTCAATTATGTTTCAACTGTTTCGCGTCGTCGGATCTCGGGGACTTGGGGGAGCTGTGCTCCTTGCCTCACTTGGGTATCCTATCCACGATCTCTCGAGGGGGGTGACGAATCCGATGAGCCGCCCAAGGGAGCAAGGACCACAGCTCCCCTGGTTGTGGCTGGCCACCACCACTTCCACTTCAGGAACAACCAATCGCATGTTGGAACCTGGATGCATCACAAAAGCACAAATAATAATACAGTACTAAACCAACTGAACAAAAAGATAAGATGCCGATAAACTGAAGGTCTACTTTCTGAATGTCCACATAATCTCCTGAACGTACAGGCCCATGCGACAGACTGCCACCATCAACTCTGCACGGCGAACATATTGGCGGTGAGCTGCTCAGGGTGACTTTAGGGTTCTGCGTCCACCAGCTCGCGTTCAGAAAACAAGCTAGATTGATGTGCTGGCGAGAATCACGGCAAGCATCACGCCTCCACACACAGCGACGTTTGTTTGGTCATTCCTGCTCCCCACGCAAAAAAAACGCCGCGGCTCCGTAGCAGCTCGGCTTCACATAGGAAAATGTGTAGCATAGAGTCTTCTCCTGGCGTCATCTCCTTTCGGCATTCTTGCCGGGGAACTTAAGACAAGGCCTCGACGTCGAACTCACGAATACCCACAAAATCGCCTCGACTCTACCTGGCCTGGCTTAGGGCATGAACACGGCACACCACACGAATAAAAATGCTCCATCCGATCACCCCCAAAAAATACACGCTATCTCAACGCTCGCCAGACTCGAGGATCAGCCTGCACGGCGTCAACTCGAACACACACACACACACACACACACACACTCCTCGCAACTCGTCATATTGAAGGAACTGCAGACCGACGGCATGGAACACGTTTTTGAAGTTGTGTTCGAGATGGGGGAACTACCACACAAGGTCCCACTCTCCTATCCTCCTTTCACTCGCGGTGGTCGCTGAATACACAGGGCAAAGATGCCAGCTCACACACCAGAGGCGCCCCTGACACCACCAGAAGCAGTTCGTCCTCGTGATCGCCTTCATGATCCCATCCAAGATCACCTTAAGCGGCGGCGCGAAGATCGCTGCACGCCAAGTCCAGAGACGCTTGGCGCATGCCTCGAATGCTCTAGATCGCATCGCAGCTGGCCCAGGTAAACCACCCACTGTTTGAAGAACCGCCCCCGGCTTCTTCCACCCAGCCAACGGTACCACATCAACCTGACGCCGGCTGGAACAGCTTGGATGCCGACGCGCTAAACAGACTTGCGTTTTCCTCGAAACTACGTTTGTCTTTTGTCAGCAATCCCACTGGCGCCCGTCACCTCATCAATGATGTCGGTCGCCGCGATGTTCGCTTGCTGCTCCTCCTGGGATCTTGCCACTGCGCTGCGACCATCCATGAACAGAAGTGGCGCGCCGTGGATCTCCCACGGGCTCACGCGGCGCCACTGGCCACTGGCGCACACGAGCGCCCCTGGGCGAGCAATCTTGTTGGCCAGACATGTTCCTTTCCCACCTATCCCACAACCCCGCACAATCTCGGCCCCGCCCGCGCCGCGCGCGAGGTAGCTCGGATAAACTCGGACACGCTCGCGCACGCCAGGGCATGCAGTCCCACTGCGCGCGGGGCAATGTCGCAGCACTTGGAAAAATCCTTCTCGGCGCTACGCTGGCCATCAGCGCAGGGCGCCAGCCGGGAGACACAGGCACACGCCGCGGTCGCACCCCCACGGCATGCAACCTGGGCTCTGCCAGGCGAAAGCAACCCCGGCTCACGCGTCGCATGCCAGCTGCAGAAGAGGCAGCTCGCTACACCCATGGGCCCGCTGCGGAGCCCTTCTCCGGTGCCCCCACAACCCTCTAACCAAAAAGCACATCTTGAAGATCCGGCGCTACTTCGCCCAGCCCCAGCGCTCACTCTCGCGGCGCTCCAAGCCCAGTTTCATGAGAAAAACTGACGCATCCACCCGCAGAGCATGCACGTCGACGACCAAGAAACCAAAGTTACCGCCCAGGCACCGAGCACTACCGCCGCCCAGCCGTCGGAGCTCTGCGCGCGGCCGCCGAAAGATCAGCAACGCTCGGCAACCAGTCCTCGCCCGAGGTACTGGAGGGGAACGGCGCCCTCATCTGCTCGGCGCGACATTTCCACTGGACGACGCAGGCCGCCCCATCAAACTCGGCCAGGCCCCAGATCTGCTTCCGGTTAATCGCAACGTCGTCCGCCGCGAGAGCCGCGCAGTCACCCGACGGGCGGGCGACAGCAAAGGCGGCCTTCCAGGTCTCCTGCGCGAAGTTGGCGAAGAGCTCGTTCCAATTGGATCGCGCCCTCTTTGCTTGCATTGCATCGAGCGCCGCGACACCGACGGTCGCGACATCGCGCGCCCCGCCCCCCCCCCCACCTCCCCACCAACACCACCACCACCGCCGCCGCCACCGCCGCCGCCGCCACCGCCACCACCACCACCACCAACACACATTGGGCAGCCACGCGACTTCTTTGTCCAAGGTTCCTTCCTCGCACTCCTGCGCACACTGGTTCGGGGCCCTCGAGCATCGCATCAGCGACGCTCTTAAATGGTGGGGTGATGCGTCTGCCCAGTCTCTTGAGTCTTGCCATGGCGATTGGTGCTGAGCATCGCTCACCCGATCTCCATCCCCACCAGCGCGGGCTGGGCCCGGCTGGCAGAATTATCCCCCTGAATGAGGAGATAGGCCGTTTCCTTCGGGTTTCGAGGGGCGCATCCCCAACTGAGGCGGTAATTTTGCAGGGGTCTCGAAGGGAGTTGGATGGGGATGGGGGGTCGGTCAAGCGATGCTAAGATTGGTTCGCCAGCTCGAGCAGCAGCTCGCCGCCGCCTTTCGCATCGGCGGCAGCGACCCCTTTCTTTCATTCCGCTCGGCTAGATGCCCCAGCCAAGCCCGCCGCCACCGCAAGCTCGCGCGCAAGCTCAACGCGCGCATGCTAGCCTTGCCGCGCCAGCGTTCCAAAAGACCCCGTCCGCGACGCACGCGAGGGAGCTTCTCGTCGACTCCGCGCGGACCATCGCCAACTCCACCGGCGGCGGCGCCCTCACCGCGCAGGTGCGCGGATCTCCTCTCAAGCATGGCGGCCCGCCCCCCAAGCCGACCCATCCGCGCGCCACGCTCGACGGGGCCGCGGCATTGGATGTTCTCCACGAGGTGGGCCCTGAGATGCCGCAACGCGGTTCCTCTCACCACCGCCCGCGTCGCCTTTGCCCCCCTGGCCGCGGTCGGCGCCGCCATCCCGGGATGGCCCACCCCCTCGTGGAGGCGGCGGTCGCAGGCTCTGCGCCAGTCGAAAACCCCGAGGGCCACCCGCGCATGACCAGCCCCCAGCCCCTCTGACCACGCCAGGAGCTCGCCGACCCAGGCACTCGAAGGCACGCCAGCTGGGCCGGGCGCCGAAACAAAAGCTCCTGCTGCGACTCCGGTAACAATGCACCCGTGGGAAGGTCCGCGCAGCGCGCGACGGCGCCCAAGATGGCACCCAAAAGATAGCTGCGCCACCCTGCACGACGCAGTGCTTCTCCTTCGGCGGCGGGGCACTGAGAGCCACTCGGCATCCGCAGCGCTGGGCCGAGCTGAAGCCCCACCCGCACAGAGCTGGCTGCAGCCGCACCTCCTGCAATAATACGACATGGGCCGCGCGCGCTGCCCTCTGGGTCAGGATGCTCTCCAGTCTGGATCCCCATAGCTGGGCGACAGGCACGCGCGGGCTCTCGCTCGCCCTCGCGCCGCAAAAGCCCACGTTCTCGGGGCCCACGCCCCCGCGCAAAAAGGGCCCCTCCGAGAATGCATCGCGCAATCGACACTCCCCGAAGCTCCAGCCCGTGACCAGGGGGCCCAAGCGATGCAGAATTCGGCGCTTCCTCAGGCTCTCGCGACCCCGCGCCAGCCGCCCGCGCAACTTTCGAGGCCGCGACAACCATCCACGTATTGGCCTCAACGCTGGTGAATGCCAACAAGACGTCCAAGGCCTGCACCGTCATGCGCGGCACCAAAGACGGCCGTCTCCCGAAACAATTTTGGGAGAAGGACGACGCCGGGGTGAAGGGCGGCATCGAATACGGATTTATGAGCACAACCACGGACCGTGAAGTCGCCATGCAGTACGCGTCGGGCCAGAGCGCAGGCACCGTCTTGGAGATCCAGACCGGCATGATCGACAGGGGCGCCTAGCTGAGCTGGATCTCGCAGTACCCACATGAAAAGGAGATGTGTTTCCCGCCAGACGGGGGAGGGAAGACCGCCCGGAAGGAGGTGCGGGAAGAACGGCAAGGGGGGCGCGAAGGAAAGGTGGGAAGGCGACGAAGGAAGGAAGGAGGAGAGAGGCGGAACCAGGACGGATGAGGGAGGCGAGAGGGAAGACAACGGAAGAGGGGAAGAGGAAAGGAGGGACCACCGATGACGATTGAGAAAAAAGCAAGGAGGACAAGGGCAGGGGGGAGGGGATAAGGATTGGGCCTGCGCAAACCTGGGAGGACATACCAGTGACGTGAAGAAGACGAGGGAACTGTTGACGACAACGGATACGACAATGATGATGGAAGCAACTGATAACATGATTGAATGGACATGTGCTGGTTTGGTGTGGACCTCCGCAACAATGGGATACAACGATATTTGACCGCCGCATTTTCTCATGGCGCGCGAACGGCCCCGAAACGGACGCAATCGCAACGAGCCGGTGCCGTTCGCTACGACGCCATCGCTGGCTGCGCCACACTGACACAAGCACGCGCGAGAGACTGCCGCGCCATAGCCACGCTAACCGCGCACTCCAAAAAGCCGACCGCAAGGAAAACGAAGACACACGCAAAGATGCACGAGTGTCCAGGTGGGGTCAGCTGGATTTCGGCTTTGTTTCTGTTCGAACTACATTTGGGAAAGTCATTTTTCGCCTGGGCCTCCTCACTCGTCACCCGTGGAAAAAGGGAAGTCGTCCAGGAATGCCGAAGCGTTTTGGGGGGCGCACCCTGGACCCGCTAAGCGCGGGTAGACTCCCCAGAGTACCTTGTGTGACGTGGTTGGCCCCCTTTCTTTCCTTCCTAGCAGCGACGGCCTCGCTTGGAGGTTGCAGGGGACGCAATGGTATGTCGGGTGGACCTCACACCTCTGATCCCGAGCCCCGGGACGAGGGTGTGAAGTCCGCTCATATCACTAGAATATCCAGATCTACTGCTGCCGTCTCCGCTCAAGTATTGGTAATAGGTACTGCACCGCCTCTATTCCTCCTCCTCCTCCTCCTCCCTCCTCCTCCTCCTCCTCCTCCTCCTCCTCCTCCTCCTCCTCCTCCTCCTCCCTGCCTCCTCCTCCTCCTCCCTTCCTCCCTCCTCCTCCCTCCCATTCCTCTCCTCCTCCTCCTCCTCCCTCCTCCTCCTCCTCCTCTCCTCCTCCTCCTCTTCTCTTCCTCCTCCTCCTCCTCACCTCCTCCTTCCCCTCCTCCTCCTCCTCCTCCTCCACCCCCGCCTACGCCTCCGCCTCCGCCTCACCCTCCGCCTCCTCCTCCTCCTCCTCCTCCTCCGCCCTCTCCTTCCTCCTCCTCCTCCTCCTCCTCCTCCTCCTCCTCCTACCCTCCTCCTCCTCCCCCTCCTCCTCCTCCCTCTCCTCCTCCTCCTCCCTCCTCCTCCTCCTCCTCCGCCTCCTCCTCCTCCTCTCCTCCTCCTCCTCCTCCTCCTCACTCCTCCTCCTCCTCCTCCTTCCTCCTCCTCCTCCTCCTCCTCCTCCTCCTCCTCCTCCGTCCTCCTCCTCCTCCTCCTCCTCCTCCGCCTCCTCCTCCTCCTCCTCCTCCTCCTCCTCCTCCTCCTCCTCCTCCTCCTGCCGCATCCGCCCTCCGCCTCCCGCCTCCGCCTCCGCCTCCGCCTCCGCCTCCGCCTCCGCCTCCGCCTCAACCTCCCGCCTCCGCCTCCGCCTCCGCCTTCCGCCTCCGCCTCCGCCCCCTCCTCCTCCTCCTCCTCCTCCTCTCCTCCTCCTCTCCTCCTCCTCCTCCTCCTCCTCCTCCTCCTCCTCCTCCTCCTCCTCCTCCTCCTCCTCCTCCTCCTCCTCCTCCTCCTCCGCCTCCGTCGCCGCCTCCACCTCCGCTATTGGGGCCGCTGCAGCAGGTGCAACTTCACAGCGGGGGCGCCACTCGCAGGCGCACTCTTGCACTCACTTACACCACAACGCAACGCCAACCGCTGGCACCCGGCCCCCTTGAAGGTGGCACTCCCCTCATGCGGCTTGGGTGGCAAGGCCTTGGCGCCTCCCCCCGCTCCCGCAGCGCGCCTGCCTGCTGCGCCCCTGGGCACAGTGGGCGGGCGTTTTGCGGGAACGGGGAGGGCGGCCGTGCCCCTGGCACGGCCGTTGGCTCATATGGCCCTGCCACCCTTGCCACGTGACGGGTGTGCACCTCCCTGCACGGGGGTGCTGTTTGTGCGCGTTTCACCTGCACTGTCGTCTGACGGCGCGCCCAAACCGTCCACTGCCACTCACCACCCTCACCCGCCTGTCTGCAAGACACGCTCGCTCAGTCTTGCACGCCAGGCACGGCCCTTGACCACGGCCTTCGGCTTACCTCTCGCCAGCCCGATTGCCCGCGCGGCCACGCGTCGTAGGGGCCTGACTGCGGCGGCGGGGGACGCCCCGTCGTTCGCATACCGCGTAGCGGTCAAACCCTTCTCCGCCAGCCGCCAACCGGAGCTTCGCCGACCTGGGCCCTTCTCCCACGCGGGGCGCAGAGACACTTGGCGCATCGCCTGCTCGGCACCCCGCCTCTTGCTACAGACGCTTCGCGCCAAAGGTGGTTGTTTCAACATCCCCAGTTCCCCAAGGTGCGCACCGCCGCCAAGAATGCGATAGCGGCCTCGGCTACCGCAGTAGCCGGCTGTCGGCGGGACTCCCGTTTACTTGTCCGCACTCTCTATCTCTCTATCTCTTTCTCTCTCTATCTCTGGCCGCCACGGGCGTGCAGCACGAGGACATCACACTACGGGTACCTGCTATGACGGCGAGGGCGCTCGTCTGCGTCGCCGCCTGGACCGCTCGGCCCTGAACGGATTCCGCTTCCCAGGTGTAACCGAATGCTGCCGATGGGGCCTCCAATGTCGAACGCCCGCGCTCGAGAACGCTGGCTGAGGAAGGCACCGGCTATGACGGCGAGAGCCCGTCTGTGTCTCCGCCTGGACGCGCTCGACCTTGAACGGATTTCGTTTCCTGGGTCCTCGAAGGCTGCCAGGGTGTCTCCAATCTCGGACCCCAGCGATCGAGAACGCTGGGGCAGGTATCTGCTACGACGGCGAGGGCTCTCGTCTGCGTCGCCGCCTGGACTCGATCTGCCCTCTTCGGCCATCAACCTGACTTCGCCGCCTTGCTGCGCGGGTGGCCTTGACGTTAAGACTGTGTCACCGCCTGGACCGTTCGGCCCTGATCGGATTCCGCTTTCGGGGTCCCCGAAGGCTGCGTGGGGGTCTTCAGTCTTAGGCGCCCACGACAAAAGCTCGCGAGTCCCGCTGTCAGGTCGCGAGCCAGTCCCAACAGGAGGAAGAGAGGAGGAGGGAGGAGGACGAGGAGGACGAGGAGGAAGAGGAACAGAGAGGAGGAGGGAGGCGTGGGGGACGAGGAGGAGGACGAGGACGAGGAGGAGGAGGAGGAGGTCGAGCGTGCCAAAACGGGTCATTGAGGAGGAGGAGGAGGAGGAGGAGAAAGAGGAGGAGAAGGAGGTAAAAGGAGAAAGGAGAAAGGAGGGGGGTAAGGAGGAGTGGTCCGAAAGTGTGAGATGGGCGAATGGCGCACCAACCGCCACAATAATTGCCGCGACTGGCACTCCGCGAAGCACCCACTACCGCGACCTCCACCACCACCACCAGGACCACCACCACGACCACCATCAGCGCGACAACCGTCATGACCACTCCGACAGGACACGGCCACCATCACGACACCGACGACCACCACCACGACCGCAACCACGACGACGCAACGACCGCCCCCCGCCGCCCCCTGATACGCCTTCCCTCCTTCCCTCCTTCCCTCCTGCCCGGCCAGCCGCCCCTGCCTGCAGCCATCGCCCCCTCACTAAATTGATTCACGAAGTACTACTTCAATCGACCAGGTCTAGACTCTTCGAAAACCGCGTAAGCAGATGCGGCGCTGGCTTGCGCGGGGCCGCTTGCCTGGCAGGGTCGCTGGGCCCAGCACCGCGGCAAGGTGGCCCGCCCCCTCCTCCTCCCCCTCCTCCCTCCTCCTCCTCCTCCTCCTCCTCCTCCTCCTCCTCCTCCCTCCTCCTCCTCTCCTCCTCCTCCTCCTCCTCCTCCTCCTCCTCCTCCTCCTCCTCCTCCTCCTCCTCCTCCTCCCGCCCCCCCTCCCCTCCAGGGCTTGCCCAGCAGAGCTGTCCTGAGCCCCGCAGGGGGACGCGAAGACCGCCTCTCCCCCCGCTGCTGCCTGCTGGCCCGCCTCAGTCCTCTCCTTTTCCATCGCGAGGAGGAGGCGTGGGGAGAGGGAGAAGGGAAGAGAGACGAGGGAGGAGGAGGAGGAGGAGGAGGAGGAGGAGGAGGAGGAGGAAAGAGTGGCATCAGCAGCAACAACGCCAAGGAACAGAAAGGTGGCCAGGGCGCCTTCCACCAAGTAGCAGTCAGAGCCCGACCTCGTGCCGCAGGGCTCGGTGCTCCTGAGGCCACAAGGTGGCCTTACAGAGATGCGGGCAACAACAGCAGGAGGGGCGCTCATCACTCCGTCATTCGCGGGTTGACCGTTTTAGAATCTTCCCAAATGGGGTCGGAGGGTCACGAAGCATCGCCGATACATCAGCAATGCGTCGCCGACGTCAGCGATACATCGGCGACGTCGACGTGGAGAGAATTGGGCTCCACACCGAGCCGTATCGCAAATGCATCGGCGATGCCGCGCAATCCTGCGACCCCATCTACTCGCACCCCACTTGGGAGGCCAAAAGCTTGCCAGTTCTGCCCCCGTCGTTGCTGAGACGCACACAGGCTCGTCGTTGTGCTCACCTGCAGACAGGACAGGGAAGACGGAAGCAGGCAGCGTAGCCAGGGATCGTTGTAAAGCTGACATGCAAGAAGAGGATCCTGTTCCTCCTCCTCCTCCTCCTCCTCCTCCTCCTCCTCCTCCTCCTCCTCGTCTGTCGTCCTACTCCTTCTCCTCTCCGCCTCGTCCCTCCTCCTCCTCCTCCTCCTCCTCCTCCGTCCTCCTCCTCCTCCTCCTCTCCTCTCTCCTCGTCCTTCTCTCCTCTCCCTCTTCCTTCTCCTCCTCCTCCTCCTCCTCCTCCTCCTCCTGCCTCCTCCTCACCACCACCACCACAACCAACAACACCACCACCACCACCATCATCTTCATCCCATCACCATCACCATCACCATCACCATCAACAGCATCATCCCATCATCATCATCATCATCACATCTCACCATCATCATCATCATCGCACTCATCATCATCCATCAGATCATCATCATCATCGTCATCATCATGCAGCCATCATCATCACAACATCAAGCATCAACATCAACATCAACATCACCTCATCGTCAGCATCAGCATCACATCATCATCATCTCATCTCTCATCTCATCATCATCATCATCATCATCATGAGCATCATCATCGTCTTCATCATCATCATCATCATCTCATCATCATCATCAGCTCATCATCATCATCATCATCTTCACATCATCATCAGCATCATCATCATCAATCATCATCATCTCAATCATCATCATCATCAGCATCAGCATCATCATCATCCATCTCATCATCATCATCATCTCATCACATCGTCATCTTCCATCATCATCATCATCATCATCATCATCATTCATCGCAGCATCACCATCATCATCACATCATCACATCAGCATCATCATCATCAGCAGCAGCATCGTCATCATCATAATCGGCATCATCGTCATAATCATAAGCATCATCAGCAGCATCATCATCATCATCATCATCATCATCATCATCATCATCATCATCATCATCATCATCATCATCATCATCATCATCATCATCATCATCATCATCATCATCAGCATCATCATCATCATCAGCAACATCATCATCATCATCATCATCATCATCATCATCATCATCATCACCATCATCATCAGCATCATCGTCATCATCAGCAGCAGCATCCGCATCATCATAATCAGCAGCAGCATCATCAGCATCATCATCAGCAGCAGCAACATCAGCGTCATCATCACCATCAGTGTCATCAGCATCACCGTCGTCGTCATCATCAGCAGCAGCATCATCATCAGAATCATCAGCATCATCAACATCATCATCCTCATTATCATCATCACAAACACCATCATCACAAACACCATCATCACCATCACCATCATCATCAGCAGTATTAGCATCAGCATTATCATCATCATCATGATCATCATCATCATCAGCATCATCATCATCAGCATCATCATCAGCATCATCATCAACAGCATCAGCATCATAATCCTCATCAGCATCAGCTTCATCATCATCATCAGCAGCAGCATCATTACCCTCCTCATCCTCCTCCTCATCGTCATCATCATTATCATCATCATCATCATCAGCAGCAGCAGCAGCATCATCACCTCACCGGGGGGGGCAGGCTTTGGGCGTTGCCGCCGCATCGAGCCCCCGCGCACCCCGAGCGTGGGTTGCCTGCCCGCTGCCTGGCAACGTAGGCGGGCCTTAGGGCGGTGTGCTTCTCCGGGTGGAGGGGGGGTTTGCGTTCTAGGCGGCCCCTGCCAAGCCCGACGGCTGGACCGCCGCGCGGGGGAGGGGGGGGGCGCTGATTGCCGCCGCCTCCCCACCTCGCCCCCCTCCCCTCGCACCCCGCCCCTCGCCCCCGCCCCCCCAGCCAGGCCCCCTCGGCCCACGCGCCTCTCCTTGCATTCCCCTTCCCTCCCCCCTGGGACCCCCAGGAGGCGAAATCCGCTCCTCTCAATGGGGGGAGCGCGGGGTCCCCGCCGGCCCCCCAGAACCCCTGGGGGGAGGGACAGCGCGCCCTTGCCCGACGCCCTTCATTGGCTGTGGCCCGTAGGCCCGAAGGGGCGGTGGTGCCAGTCACGGCACGGTCACACCGCCACCCCAGCGGGCCCCCTGACAACTGAGGTCCACCGACTAAGATCCTCCTCCTCATCCTCATCCTCCTCGTCTTCCTCCGCCTCATCCTCCTCAACCTCCTCCTCCTGCTCCTCCTCCTGTTCCTCCTCCTCTTCCTCCTCCTCCTCCTCCTCCTCTCCTTCCTCCTCCTCCGTCGTCTTCTCCTCCCTGCCTTCTCCTCCTCCTCATCGACTTCCCAATCCCCTCTTCTTACTATCATTATCAATGGTAGTATTCGCTGTAGTATCATTGTTCTTCATACCCTTATTACCATTAGCATTCTTAATCGTTTCTCGGTATTAGTAATGTAAAGCTATTATTGTAATTCGTATTATTATTAGTACGATTGCTCTTAATACTCCGAATCGTTTACTAAGTATGCTTAACAATAGAGTTCCTGTGTTTATGCGTCCTACTAATTCTAAGCATGAGTATTAGTATGCGTACGATGTTCCATGGTACGATTCGCACTCTTATCATATTAATATTGTCATTGCTGATATCAGTATCAACATTATTATTCATAGTATTATTTGCATGGTTATCACTGTTATACGTCTTTTTCTTATTAACAGTAGTCGCATTACTCTTATTATTCCACCTCCCCCTCCTCCTTCTCGTCCTCCTCCTCCTCCTCCACATCATCACCATCACCATCACCATCATCATCATTATCGTCAGCAGCAGAAGCATGATCATCAACAACATCTGCAACCTCGTCATCATCATCATCAGCAGCATCATCATTAGCAGCATCATCATCCTGGATAATCCTCATCATCATCAACATCATCCGCATCATCAGCATCATCAACATCATCAGCATCAGCATCAGCAGCACCAAAATCATCAACATCTTCATCATCAACCTCAGCATCATCGTCAGCAGCATCATCATAATCATCAGCATCAGCATCAGCATCAGCATCATCATTCCCATCATAACTTGCATCATTTTCATCATCTTCATCATCATCATCATCATCATCATGATCATCATCATCATCATCATCATCATCATCATCATCCTCATCCTCATCCTCATCCTCATCCTCATCCTCATCCTCATCCCTCTGCATCCTCCTCCTCCGCTCCTTTTCCTTACGAATAATTATTCCCGCTCGCACCCCGAGGCAGTCGGAGGGGTGGGCCGGCCGTTTCGCCTGAGACCTCGTTCCCACGCTGAAAACAATTCACAGATGGAGGGCGGGCCGGTTCCAATATGTGGCTCTCGCCGTCGCGCCGCGTACACTCGTCTTCAAAAATTGCAACCGTTTCACGGATTGCTAGGCGGGTGGTTTTCAAAATATTGTTTTCGCTGTTAACGCCGATTCGTTAAAAAATGAAATAGACTCACGGAGTGAAGGCGGGTGGTTTTCAAACTGTGAGCCCCGCCTCAGCGCCGCGCACATTCGTTTAAAAAGTTACAAGAATTGCACTGCTTGGAAGGCGGGTGGTTTTCAAAAGGCGTTTCTCGCCCTAGTGCCGCGCATACTCGCCTTAAAAATGTGCAAGAGATTCGCGGATTGAGGGCGGGCCGTTTTCAAAGTGCTGTTTTCGCCTAAGCGCCGCGCACATTCGTCTTAAAGATGTGCACAAGTGTCATTGATTAACATGGTTAGGGTACCAGAGACTGTGTTATGGAACGATTCGAGATTGTCAGGGCGCAACAGTTACGTCGATTCGCGGCGTTGAAGTCCCAGGAACGGCTGTCTGGCACAGTCCAAATCGTCAAGACGCAACAGTCAGATTGACTCGTGGCGTCGAGGTTCCGAGAATGGGGTTTTGACACGGGTCCGGATTTGCAAACAGTTGTCCCCGAACGGGGCACTTACCTGAGAACAAGTGAACCTTTGTATGGGGCCTACGAACAGGGAGCTTGGAGGGATGGTGTATGCCATCATCGTTGATGCGTCTTGGGTTTGCAGTGGTCCTCCTCCTCCTCCTCCTCCTCCTCCTCGTCCTCCTCCTCTTCCTCCTCTTCCTCCTCCACATTGTGCGTCTCCTAAGCCATACTTCTCCTCTTCCTCCTCCTCCTCCTCCTCCTCCTCCTCCTCCTCTTCCACCTCCTCCCCATCCTCATCCTCCTCCTCCTGCTCCTCCTCCCCCGGTTTTCACGAGTAGCAATCCTGGATTACCAAACAGGTTGGACTATGGGGGGGAGCGGGCACACAGGGCCCTGAAAGATCCGATCGCGTGGAGTCGTGCTAGGACCCTCTCGGCGGGGTTGCGCGTGGTCCCGGACCCTTTGGCCATGCTTAGTAGCGAGAGCGAAGAACTGTCGGCCTACTGGGAAGCTACCAGTACTCCTCAGGCCACGGGCCCACGTGGGACGCGTGTGCCCATTCCTCTTTTGGACCCTGATACGCTGCTCTGCGTCGACAACCTCCGTGTTGTCGCCATCCTCATTCACCTCATGGAACCGTTGGGCCCCCTTCCTTCTCCACTCCAGGGGGTGATGTTTGCTCTTCCCTCCAAACTACAATTTTCAGTTCTCAGGTAGTCTATACAAGCTCTGGGTAAGGCCAGCAGGCCCTACGG